GTGTACATATTGTAAATAAATTTATTTTGTTTATAATTGGTTTCATTCTGTCATCTTTGGGTCTCTCCTATTTTATGTAAATGGATTCACTGAACTGGTTAAATACACTACTTTTTGACTAAATTAATGACTAACTGTTTAATAGTTTGATGGAACTATAACCATCTAGTGCCCTAATGTAATGAGGTATTTGAAAATTAAATAATAATGTTCATTTTCATAAGTGTAGTCCTTTTTAAATCAGAATTATTTAATTTAGGGAATAATTGCTTGTGTTTTGCCCACTGTAAAGGTTTGACTTCTCTCCAAGTCCTATTTTTTAACTAAATCCTACATCTGTTAAATGGTCTTATACTTGTATAGCACTTTTCTATGCTTTTACAGTACACTCAAAGTGCTTTCACTGTCACGTTTGGCGTATACAGATGCCAAACAGAGGATGTGGTGAACTCAATTAAATAACCAGACGAACTGAGGTAACGAAAAGTTCTTTACTAGTAAACAAAACTAACAAAAAGTCCAGGATATCACTTAGGTCGATAAGACAGTCCAGGGTCGGCGCCGGTTGACAGGTATATCCAGGGGATCCAAACTCGAGGTCAAGGGGAACAAAAGCAGAAGGTCGGTACACAGCAGGCGATCAGAATCTGTGAGGGCATAGACAAAACACGGTGGTCAAGAAACGGTAATCCTAGGTCAAACACAGAGAGTCAGGCAAGGGATAAATGCTGGAGAGTCAGAGCTGGGGTCTAGAACAATCTGGCAGCGTCCTGGTGGGAGGACGCTGCCTAAATAGAAGGGAAAAACAGGTGCAAACAATAAGGAGCAGGTGAACTAATGATGATTAAATAAAAGGGCCAAAAGTGAGGTGAAACAAAACAGGAAGTGATGAGAAAATAAAAGCCTGACAGGAAGCAAGAGGGGCAGGAGCGTGACATTCACACTACTTGACCATTCACCCATTTGCACACTCAAATGCTCACACATTCACACACCAGTGTTAACACCAGGAGCAATTGGGGGTTCAGTGTCTTGCTCAAGGACACTTCAATATGCTGACAGGATAAGCCGGGAATCAAACTGCTAATCCTCCAGTTCTCTTCACAAGCAACATTTTATCTAAACAATTGCTTTGTTAACACCCAAGAAGTTTTTTAACAAAAGACTTACTGTCTCTCATTTCCAGACAAAAATCCTTTGGTGTTTAGCAGTGTCTTTCCCAAGGTCCAATGTCACAAAACTGGCAAGGGCTCTGACTCCTGAATGCTTTGTCCTTAGGTTAGTGAAGAACAAGTAAGATATTCCACAATAAAAAAAAAAGTACTGCAGGCTCATTTTTCCAGCCTTCCACCCTGTCCTGCATTTGGCGGTAACCCCAGTGAACTCACACTTTATGGCCAGTGAGATCTCAGGCACCCAGCTGCTGCTCAGCTGGAGGTGTATACAAGTGTCCCTAATGGTCTTTTTCACTCGACTGCAACACTCAGCATGCAGCCACAAACATTTTAAAAGTACTGAAATTAATTTCACAAATACAGCAGCAATCACAGCATCTTACATCCAGTGGCAACGCATTACATGTGGCATGGCAACAGCAAAAATATTTCCTTTGTACCACCACAACAATAGCTCCACAGAACCTCTCAGGAGGTTGTACTAAAATCAAGTACAAGGAACACAAGAGGGGAGAGGGTGTATGTTTGTGCCTATGGGCCGAACGGCAGTGCAGAGTACCCGGCCTTCTTGGAGTCTCTGGGAGGGGTGCTGGAAAGTGCTCCGACTGGGGACTCCGTTGTTCTACTGGGGGACTTCAACGCTCACATGGGCAGCAACAGTGATACCTGGAGGGGCGTGATTGGGAGGAGCGGTCCCCCCGATCTGAACCCAAGTGGTATTCTGTTATTGGACTTCTGTGCTAGTCCCAGTTTGTCCATAACAAACACCATGTTCAAGCATAAGGGTGTCCACCAGTGCACGTGGCACCAGGACACCCTAGGCCAGAGGTCGATGATCGCCTTT